TTGAGTCTTAAAATTAGTTTTTCCTAATGATTCTCTGCCTATCTATCTATGGATTGAAATTTTTAGTCTCTCTGTTTTTCTATACACTCTGTTAAATTTAGTTTGTATGTCACATATATCTTACATTTATTCTCATGTCACAGCCTTGATTGCCCTGTCTGCAAGGACTAGAATAACTGCATCCCCAGCAGGGGAGTAAGATCCCAACCAAAAGGGAGCATAAATATAAACAACTGATATTTATCTATACCAGAACTAAGGACTGCCATAATGTAGCTTCTCCTGTGTCTTTCCTATAAATATTTTCATGGCAATTGTTCTGATGAGTGTAAGCATTCTGAAAGCAAAGGAAATGTTTGTCGCAGATTAATTCCACAATGCAGAGAACAAATCACTGTAAGTTCAGACTCGAATATTGGGGGCAGAAAGAAATGCCAAAAACTCGATTCACAGATACTATCTCACAAATCCCAATGCATGTAACCGGTCAGAAAAATAACTCGCTCTCCAACGAATGTGGTAGCCAAAATACATCAATTTTTCCCTGCCAATTTGAGAACACCAACTGCTTTTATCGGCCAAGCATTTTTTTTAATTCGTCTACAACTGGGAGAGGACGCCAAATTTTTGCATATCAAAATACTTTTATAGAGACTCCTGCGTCGGACTTGTTTTTGATCTAAATATTCCGTCTTCAGTATGTCATACAGACTACGTGCCCATTTTTTTTGGTAAGTAATTTTCTTTTCCATCGTAGGATACACGCGACGTGTTGTCGCTTGGTTTGATGAGGTAAGTCGCTATACTCCCCCACTGATCTCATTATCACAAATCGAACGGCATGGAGTGGGTCTCTTTATCCTGGTACTTCTTCGTAATGGAACTATCTCCCTTATGCGTGTCAGAAAGTCGTCTCCTGAGGAGTCATCAGATGTATCTCAAGTTTTCGGAATTTCTGCGTCTGTAGAAGCATCAGATTTGCAGATCTCAATTATCCGATCACTGTCAGACAATGAACAATTATCCGATCACTGTCAGACAATCTGATACATCACCAAGCGATGTATCAGAATCAACACAAAGATGAAGATCTTTTACATGCTGTGGCATACCATCAACTATTATTGCTTGTGGACTTACAATGTCCGTCACGCGACCCACTTGATACCTGGTGGTACACTGGCCATGAGGAGCTTTCACCCATACTCTGTTCCCAACTTTGTATATATCATGATACAATGATCAGGTGGTAATGTTGTAGCAATTCCCTTCACATTCAGTTGGTAATGGTGAATCATATTGGCAGGCTCATTAGTCGACGATATATCATCTTTCAGTGTGATATTATGCCAGTATACTGCCTCCATTATTGAACACTGCTTTCTTGCTGCAATTCTCTTTATGCTCGAATGAGATCTTTCCACTATACCGTTTCCTGCAGGAACATAGGCACAGTGAAAATGAAGTTGGACTCCCCAGTCATCCAAGAAATCTTTAAAGGACTTACTGCGAAATGCAGTGTCATTGTCGGTCAGGATTTCTGATGGTGGGGCTCGTTCAAAAAAAAAAAATATTTTCCAACTGTTGAATGATGCTTCTTGAGTCTTGTTGAAGCAGGCGTCACCATATTGCAAATCAACTGGGGCTGCAATCAATTAATGTAAGGTAGTATTGCCCACCATAATGCATAATGTCCATTCCTAAGCGGGTTCAGATTGCAGTCACACTTAGGTTGCCACGAGGCCAATGACTTGAGGCTGGGTCAATTGACTGTCATTCTTTACATATTTTGACCACTGCCTTGACGGCCACCTTGGATGTCGTAGGGTAGACTCGTTCGCCTGATGCCAAGATGTCCACTCTGGCAATGTATGGCATGTATCTGATCAGGAGAGGTTTCGTTCACCATCAAAGCATATATCAGGCGTGTTGGTTTGATTTCCTTCTTGATCACATTATACCATCGCCACGATACTCTGTTAAGCTTATCTGCTCAATTCTCACTTGACGTCATTGTGATCAGTACGTTATACTCTTGAATCAGCTTTTCAAGAATACTCAAATGCCTCCGGATTAACATCTCACTTGCCACCGTAGTTCGTATTCTGGCTTTGCCACTGAGCATGTTTGATACCCACCGGTGCACACATGCGGAGTCCGTGATGAGGTGTAGCTCCGTTGCGCCCCACTGTAGTGCTAAATTGATGCCCTTCAGAATAGCATCCTATTCTGATAAATTGATATGTTGGGCGTCCTTCACAGGCCGCAGCCAGCATGCGTCTTCTACAATGCTTCTGTCAAGCTCCAAGAGGCAAGAGAACTTGCATCGACCCATACCTCATAAGCATGTCCACTTGTGCACCACTTACCGTGTGCAGGGTAATTCTAGTGTATTCTTTCCGCTATGTCCTCAATCATGTTCTTAAGGGGGAGCATCAGTCACTTCGTTGTCCCAACCAGACCTGATCGATACTGTCCTGCGTTTTATAAATGATGCAGCAACACGAAGCCAACCACACACAAGACTGTGACCCACCAGTTTTCCACACTATGAGAAGATGTTATGTCGTGTCAGGACCTCAGGAACTGATGGAATGCCATTTCCACGTTTCCACTTAAGCGTGTTGTTATCTTGCTCGACATGCAAACCCAGCACACGTGTGTCGTTCAGTAACCGCTCTGGATCCTTGCATGTCAAACCAAATGCAGCCAAGTGCTTCTTCATGCGAGCTGCTGAAATTATGCTCTTGTCAACATAAATATCATCAATATACGATGAGATTGCCCGTTGAACTGACTTGGTTTTCAACAATGCGGCGTCCATAATGGCCTTCATTATGGCTGGTGCAACATTCAACCCGAAACCCATTCAGGTTAAGCAATATCTTTGCCCCTTGAAGATTACAGTTTGAAAGGGCCAAAGTGACTTATGGATATGTACTTGTAGATAGGCCTGCCATAAGTCAAGGATAGCAACATCCGGTCCTTTTTTTGCCACTCCCTCAGTTTCTGTGCACACACGTCAGCATTGGCTGTGTGTGCATCGAGACACTCATTCAGCTCTCGATAGTCTAATACTGGCTGCACTTTATTTTTGTTTTTCTGCACCACCGCCATCAATGGAATTAAACCTTTTGGGGGACAAAGTTCCTTTTCAGGATAAGGCTGCAACCAACTGTTATCAAGCCAGGTCTGCAGCTCACGGTCGTATTCCTCCTTGACTCTCGTTGGTATTGAATACTCAGGCATTCAATTTTGCAAACTTTCTGGTGATTGACCATCAGACCACTTCCGTGATGTGACCCATATCTTCTGGTTTGGATCGAATTTGGCACAGAAATCAGGTTCTTCTATTTTAACAGCGGCATAACAGACTATCCCATGCTTGGGAAACTGTACATCACCACATTCTGTTATTTGGAGTGCACCCAACTTTTTAATGGTGTCAAACCCAAGCAACAAGTCAAAACCCAATAGCTCTCCATCCATTACCAAGACTTTGATTTTGAGGGGGTTTGCATTGTCCACGTCAAGCATAATACTTCCAACTCCGCAACATTTAAGAGTATTTCCATTTACTATGAGTATGTTCCCCTCCGTCTCCCACCAGGATTGACTTACAAATGAGTGTCTGTGAGCAGCCAGTGTCCGCTAGTGCCACTCTCTTAATTCCGTTCATGTAAATACCCAAGGCGGCTAGCACTTCATTTATAACTTGCTTAGGGAAGAGACTGGCACTGACGTCTTGTTCCCTTCTTCTTTTCCCTGGACACAATGAAGCAGTGTGGCCTACTTCTTGACACCGGAAACAACACATTGTTGTGTGTGACCTGCGTGGTTGACGGGCATCTTCTTGTCGAACCAGACAGTCCCTAGAAAGGTGATTCCACCCAGAGCATCAATATTATCGCATACCTTCCCGACGTTTAACATTTGGATGTTTATCAGCTCTGCCTGGTGAAATGATAGCCGCAACCATTTCCTCAGTTGCAATTTGATCTTTCATTATGGCCCAAGCTCGGTCTAACAGTTGGTTTGTATTCATGTCTTCCATTCTGGAAGATGCGTACAATAGTTGCTTGACGTACACTGGTAACCCTGCTATGAACCCACATGCTAGTCCTTGCTTGGATATCCCGCCAAATAGACCTGCTAATTGCTTGTAAACCAAGAAACGATCCAGTGCAGAGGCAATCTGCAGGGCTCGTTTTATCTGTTCGACATCTGATTTTTGCTCTGAGTTTAAATGTTGGTAAACAGCAAACGCTCTGCCTGTCAACCTCAGAGGAAGAACATGTTCAACCTTTTTAATTCCACACAGGTCACAAACAAGTTCTGTCTTCTGAATCCATTCGGTTACTGCTTGTCTGGTCACTGAACCGTCAAACTCGGGTATCAACTTGACGTCAAATGTCTTGTCCGTCATAGTGCCGAAATAACTTGTAAGCGTTCTGAAAGCAAAGGAAATGTTTATTGCAGATTAATTCCACAACGCAGAGAATAAATCACTGTAAGTTCAGACTTTAATATTGGGAACAGAAAGAAATGCTGAAAACTCGATTCACAGATACTATCTCACAAATCCCAATGCATGTAACTGGTCAGAAAAATAACTCACTCTCCAACGAATGTGGTAGCCAAAATACATCAATTTTTCCCTGCCAATTTGAGAACACCAACTGCTTTTATCGGCCAAGCATTTTTTTAATTCGTCTACAACTAGGGGAGGATGCCAAATTTTTGCATATCAAAATACTTTTATAGAGACTCCTGCGATGGACTTGTTTTTAATCTAAATATTCCGTCTTCAGTATGTCACGCGGAATTTGGTAAGTAATTTTCTTTCCTGTCATAGGATACGATGCTGTCGCGTGGTTTGACGAGGTAAGTCACCGTTTTCTTCGCTATACTCTCCCCCTGATCTCATTATCACAAATCGAACAGCTTGTAACAGCTCTCTTTATCCTGGTGCTTCGTTGTAATGGAACTATCTTCCTTACACGTGTCGGAGAGTCGTCTCCTGAGGAGTCATCAAATGTATCTCAAGTTTCCGGAATCTCTGCGTCTGTGGAAGCATCAGATTTGCAGATCTCAATTATCTGATCACTGTCAGTCGCCATTTTCTTCGCCATAATGAGCTTTTCTTTTTGGTACCTTTACAAATTTAAGTGCAGTGCTAGACTGACAGCTAGGTTTCATCATTTTACAGTTGAAATAGCTAGATATAACTGAGTTACGTCTAGCCATTTCTCTCGCACTTCTCACTTGTGGAACTTTTTCCGGCTTCTTGCTTTCCAGTCAACTTTGATCTTCAAAAATTTAAATGAAGTGTCAATCATTATCTTCTTGATTCCTGTTCATTTATTGTTCTCTCTTATAATTGTTTTCCTTTTCACATATTCCTTCATATTTAGTAACCTCATGCATCTTAGTGTCTTTATTTCCTTGCTTTGGGGTGAAATGATTAAAAAAGAAAAAAAGTAGACATACTCAAATATAAATGGCTACTTATTCTTTAACCACTTACAGACACTAATATAAATGACTGATATGTACCTATCCCTGCAACAATACCTGTAGGCTTGAATATAAACAAACAGAATTTACTTATCTCCGAACCAAGTAAATGCTTACAGACTGAAATATAAGTGACCAATATTTACTTGTTCTTGAATTAAGTTCTTACAGACCAAAATTAAAAAAAAAAACAAAGAAAAGAGACTGATTTTGACATTAAATAATAATCCAACATTGAGTGGACATACCATAAAATCAACCAACCCAACCTACAAACTCTTATTAGTATTTTTTATCCAAGTTTAATCTGTTAACTACAGGCTCTTTTTGATGGCTGTTTTCTATGGAATGCCACTCTTTTGCAATGATTGTATCTTATCTGAGTCACAGGTAGTAATTTTCCACTTCTCACTTAGCAGCCTGGCATCTCTGTTTTATAAGCATTTGTGTGTTACCAGAGTTAGCTCTTAAAACATTGTAATCACAATTGGTTGGTTATAAAAGCTTTCAGAACATGGATGAATCCATTCAGTGTTGTGTTTATGCAGGGTGTGACAGAAATACCTCCCACATAATGGTAAGACATTAGCTACAGGGTGCACCACAATAAACCAAGGAATTTGGTACAGTTTATTTAATTGTTGGAATTTTTGTTATTTGAAAGAAAAGCAAAGGATAGAAATTCAGTAGTTTAAAACAGAACAAAAACACAAATGTTAGACGTGTTCAAAATAAAAAAAATAAAAAAATAATTTTTTATATGCTAACTTTTTTCATCATATAGTAAATCTAAAATTTCCTGTTTTTTTTGTTGAGAACTCTGTAGATGAAGACATCATTGCTATTAATTGTTTACCATTATGTGAGAGGTATTTCTGCCACACCTTGTATAATAATGATGTCATGTCTTCCATTTAAGAGTTTATACAGCAAGTGATGCTCTCTCTATATATATATATATATATATATATATATATATATATGTTTATCTATGTATGTGTCCCGACCCAGGCGACCAAGTATGTATATGTGTCTGCATACATCGATGTTTGTGTTAGTACGATGACAAAATGATGACGTTTCCCCCACCACTTCCACAATAACACCAATAGACGCAATCTACATAAACCCAAAATTTTTAAAAAATTAATCAGTTTGTCTGACGATCACTAAAGTGTGAAACCCAGGGTCACAAACTCACATCTATCCAACCAAATATGTTAGCTCTATCTCTGATATTGAGCGCTTTCTAATAAGTACCGCGTATATAATATATAAATAATTATATATATATTTATTTACATTTATATACACACACTTTTCATATATATATATATATATATATATATATATGTGTGTGTGTTTTTGGTTTGGTTGATTTTGTTTAGTGGCATATCAACCTCTATGGGTTATTTAATGCCAAAATATAAATATTTTGAACAGTTTTATGGTTTCAACTAAATGTATTTTAAATGCAATAGTATGCCTACAACTACAGATAAAAAATATTGTTGGTAACATATATAAAAATAAACTGCTGGTATTTTTACTATAAAAATGTATTTTTATTTGTGGTGTTCACTATTTATCAACAGCTTGAACCCTTACAGGTGCTAACACCCTGGATCAGAATGGACCTGGGAATAACAGCAATTAAGTGATGGTTCCCCACTTCTCAAAACCTCCAATCTCCTGATCAGAGGCCTTGCTACCAGATGTAGTTTATCGTCATACCCAGGACTCTGTGTGTGTGTGTGAGTGAGTGTATGGAATGATATAGGCTGTCAAATGGAGGAAACATTGAAAATGATGTCTACTTACCTCTTAGCATTGAAATTCACAATGCTATAGATTTTGCTATCCATATCACTTATCTAATTTTAAGGTGAATGAGTGCAGGATAATTTTTGGTGCTGTACTTAAGCAGTTTTACCAATTGTTATATTGCATGCAACTACCTTGTATGCTTCTGCAGAAATATATCACTTCTTATTTATAGAAACATGTGTGAGGTTAGACTTACACAAACCATGTAAATATTTCAATTAATTATGAGAAATAGAGAGTATGTTCTATATATAGATTAAACTGTCAATCTGTTGGTAGCCTGGATTTGGTTGACCTGCCTTATGAACTTTCTCCAGCCAATTTTCTAAAGCAAAATTGGGCTTGGCCTTATGAAGTTCCTTCAGATAACTTTCTAAAGCAAAACCTCAATCTGTCTTATGAACTTCCTTCAGCCAAATTTCTAAGGCAAAATCTGGTTCAACTTTATTAACTTCCTTCAGCCAAGATTTAAGGCAAAATCTGGCTTGGCACCATGAACTTCCTCTAGCCAAGTTTTTTTTTTTAAGTAAAATCTAGCTCAGCCTTATGAACTTCCTTCAGCCAAATTTCTAATGTAAAACCTGGCTCACCATTACAAACTACTTTTAGCTAAATATCTGATATAAAATTTGGCTCAGCCTTATGAACTTCCTTCCAAATTTCTAATGTAAAATCAGGCTTGGCCTTATGAACTCCCTCTAACCAAATTCCTGAGGTTTAATCCAGCTCTTTACACAGTCATTTGTTTCCCTGCAAATTTGTGGCTCTATTGCAGTAATTCTGTTTAATAGTATGTCAACAACATAATTATCTTTTTCTAGCACATTTATTGTAACTAACTGAATTAAAGTGAAACTGCAGCAGACAATGTTGCAATAATGTCTGATTGTATTGTCTATTAATACTATAGAAAATTTGTTGATTCTAACAAAGAAATTTATATTTGTTTATTCCATTTATTATTTTCTATTTTTTAATTAGTTTTTGTGTTTAGAAAGGATCAATTTAATAAGTCATTTTAACCCAGAAAACTGGCTTGTATCAGAGAAGTCAGCAGCTAGGTTTTCTAAGAGCAGTGGACAATCAGTCTCGGTTTTATTAAACTTTCATTATTAAGATAGTTAAAGCAAATCACTAAATAGGTAAGGCTTTATTCAGAACCTGTGGTCCAGTCATTGACATTAATTGGCATTTGCTTACATATTTTATGTCTGACTGTATATCAAAATAACAATAAACTAATTGTAGACACATACAGTAATTTCTGTCATAAACTACTCTCTCTGTTCCTATGCAACTCCTTGTTATAAAAATGGTCCTGTAAAAATGACAAGGGATTCAGATAGAAGTATTTATGAAAATGAATACATTGTAACAGGTTTAACATTAATAGATCAACTTGTAGAAATATATTATTTGTATTTATTTATTAAACCATATCCCTTCAGGATATAATTGATCATGCCTATCTGAAACTTTCCTTTAATATCTGTAAAAGTGTGGTTTCCCCATTTCCTTTTCTATGACTTTGAATTCAGAGTTGTTTTCAACTGGTTGCTTTCTACCAATGCTAGAAAGCCCAGTCTACCCTAGTGTTTTACCTATAACTGGGAGAGAAAACATGGATTCATTCCTTACCCATGTGCATTAGTCTGTAGTGAACACATTTGCTATGGCCAGAATTTGAACTCAGTCTGCCTCCAGTTTTGTTTTCATCTGTGGGGAGATTGTCCAGCATTGACTGTCATACAAAATGATTGATATCACATAGCAATTCAGTACTCTTGTTTGTTCCTAACAAATGTTTTCTCTTAATAATTTTCTTAGCTTTTAGAATGCATCTTTCACTAATCTGATGCATGTTTGTATTTCTGTATTGTATTTTCCATGCCATGTTAAAACACTTCTCAGATATTTAAACTTCTGTACTTGTTTTATGTTGACATCTCCAATCTGTAGTTCACGTTCTGAGCTTTTTCTCTTGCTTTTTGTCTTCTTAATAAAAAGTAAAGGAAGCAATTATGACATTTTACACCGCAAGAGCCATTGTATTGTACAATGTATTATAAGATATTGAGTTATTAAAATGCTAGTAGGGTCATGATTATGACAGCATTTACATATAGTTAGGTTGCTGGGTGGCCAATAGAAGAACATTGGTAAATTCATTCAACTTCTGGAAATAAATGGTTATTGTACATTTCTTGAGATAAATACTATTTTTCCTGCTAATAAATTTTAAATAGGATGTTTTGATATTGACAGAAAACTAAATTTGTCAACATATATTTCTTAAGAATGATTAGTATATAGTCAATTTTTTAGTGGATACTCATACTCAAATGAGCATTCCTATTTTTTTTTTCCCCCAAAAATGAAATTAATAACAGCTTACTAGTTCATGTATGATCACTGAAGTTAAACAATGTTGAGCCTAGTCAGTACCTTGATGGGTAACCACTTAGGAATACCAGGTGCTGTCAGCTTTGATGTGGGGGTTATGTAATGGATAATGACTTGGAATGGTTAATCAGAGAGCTAAGTTCCAATTCCAGTTGGGTTTGTTATCCTTTACATGCAAATGTCCTTAGGAAATTTATGCATCCATCTCTTCTCCCCCTAGCTATAGGTTAATTAGTAAGATTTGTATCACTAAAAAACATTATCTAAAAAAAGAAAAACATCTTACAATCTAAAATTATTTTCTGACTTTAAATAACCTGCAAAAGGTTGATAAGCCATAGAAAATGAATCAATCAAAGATAATGACCACTGGCCTAGACATAAAAGTCTTATTAAAGGAAATGTATCTTTGACTTTAACCTGCTCTGTGAGGTACATTTTCTTCAATAACACTTTCTATGTCTAGGCTGGTGGGCATTAATTTCTCTTTTTAGAGAAATACAAATACAGTGTCTACTTAAGCAAGTGTATCCATTAAAATAATTTTTATAGTAATAAAAAATGATTTTGGATTAAAATATATTAATTGCTTAAATGATCAATATTGGTATACATAGGATAAAGGTCAGAGGTCACAAATGTTTTATGGTTTGACTTTCTTGCTTTCATTGGTCATAGAGTGTATATAAGAATTAACCTTTTTTTCTTTAATCAGTGCATTTGACTATTCATCTAGTCATTTTTATCTTGTATACTCTTCATGGTTTCTTGCAGTGGTGAAGGGTAGCTGTGATTAATAGATATTGTTATTGCTTACTATATGTACCCATGTATAATGCAAGTTTTTATGATCAGTTTTTTATGTAACAAATAGATCACATTATACACAAGTAATTTTTTTTTTTTTTTGAAAGTGTTGAAAAATTATGCATTTTCAGTGACTGGTTGCACTATACACAGGTAAATCTTTTTATGGAGGTGTTAAAATTCATGCAAAAAAATTTCAAGGGTCACACTATACATGAGGTCTGCTTCTAAGCAAGTATATATGGTAACTTAATTTTTATATTTCACCATTATAGTTTTATGTGTAATGATTATATTAATAGACAACACGATATGTAAGGGAAGTTCTCTAGGCAACATATATCAGTAGATTATTAAATGTATTTTTTAGCCCAGTACCTTGATTGAAGAGGATTTTAATCAGCTTTGGGGATTTTATTTTAATGATAAATGTCTTAAGAATTAGAATTTCTTTTTTTTTTTTTTCTTCTCTTATCATGGTGTAGTATGTGCATCTTATCATGAAGTATTTGGCGTATACTAATGGGAGAAGTACCAGTACTTAGAAAACTGTTCATCAATATAAGCATACATTGCACTTTGGGTAAGTGACATGGGTAACCTTTTCTGACCAGTGAGCCACATGAGATATGTATCATCATAACAGATTCAAAGTAATTTTTCATTGAAGGTGCCCCAGCCATTTTCACTACAGAAGAACATGCATGTAAACATCTGCCTTAGAAATGGGGAAAAAGTAGATTTTTTTTTTTTCTTTGGAGAAAAGATTTTTTATAATTAAAAAACTAAAGCCTTGGTATAGTATTAATAGAGATGACAGTGTGATTACCACATGCTGCTTTGTGTAATTAATTTCTAATTTATTCACTTGAAAATAAAAAAAAAAAATTTCTTGAATAAAAAAATATATTTCTTCTCCAGAGAAACATAAATTATGAATGTTTCTTGTTTCTAAAGCAAAATATATTTACACATCTGATAAGAGGGGAAATTGCCAATGGTTTAAAATGATGAAAACTTTACCTTTTTGATGAAAGTTTAAAAAATTCAAGAAACATTGCACTTAATCATTGTTTATGTATGTGGTTATGTATGAGAGAAGGTGTGAGTGAACAAGTGAGAAGGAAATGTAATGAACCAAATTTCAAGAAATGTTATTTTTCTCATGAAATTAGGTGTGCTATTCAGAAAGCCAAGTGGGCCTCATGTGACCCATGACTGGTCTACAGGATAAGTTGGGGTTTGTATGGTCACTATATGAATCAAATACCAAATGTGTTTCCTGGACAAGATAACCTGATGGAGCCCAACACTCTCCAGGCTTGTTTGAATTCAAAGCTTTCCTTCTTTTAGACTAGTTGGCAACCAAGGCTATAGAACCCAGTCTGTCCTGCTATTTATTCATAGCTAGTGGAGGAGAAGAGATGGATTCATATCTTTCCCAAGAGTATTAACACATAAGTGAATATAATGCACTTGACTGGAAATCAGACTTGGCTCTCTGATTCCTCAGTTTAAGTCACTATCCATTACTCCACCATATCTTCAAGTGGGTTAGAAAGTCATAAAGATCAAGAAAATTCATAGATAACATTAATATGGCTTAATATTGATTTTTGACAGTAGGGATTATGAGAAGTAATATTACAAATTAAAAATTTTCTATAATAAATTACTAATGTTTATCAAGTTCATTTGGCAATGAATAATGTTTTTAATAGCTGTTTCATTTTGTTTATTATTTTGAATTATTTCATAATGATAAAATAGGTTTATTGTCTTTTTATAATTTTAGTTGTCATTTATTATTATTATTATTATTATTAGGTATTACAAACTATAATTTTATTTTCAATATATTTAAAAACCTTTAATACAAGCATAGAGAACTTAACAAAAGATAAAAAAAATGGTACCAAATTTATCTTGGTAGTTCAATTAGCAACAAAGTTATTGTGATACTATGACCACCCACATAGAAAAGGAAGAGGTGTTTTTTATCTCGATCTCAAGTGTTTTTGTTTTATAGGCCAGTGGCTTGGTCCTTTTGTGGTATCCACTTTAGCCAAAGAGTATAGGAGAAATAAAGAGGGGAGGGATTTTGGGAAATCAGAGAGGACTCTATATCTGGGTGTTGGTCTATATTAACAGTCATGCTTGGGATTGGGAAGAGTTCTGATACATCCATGTGCCAGTGTTGTTGTTCTGAAGCCCCTATTTTGTATTGCCAGCCACCACATGGAGATGAGTAGATGGGTGCAGAGCTGGTAAGGGGAAGAGATGACATAGCTGAAGTTGTCCCAAGTATCATCTACTTACCCACCCAGATGAGCAGGCCATGCCCTCAATAAAACACCTACATATAATAAGGAAAACAGGTTTCATGTCCTTATTTGCTGATGTGATATTTTTCTTTCAGTGTGTTGCCTTGTAATCATGCAGCACGCTCTTCCCCAGTTTTTGGTGAACACAAATGAGATCGATGATGGAAATGCAATGTGGAGTGATCATTGGCTGGTTGGTGGAAAGTTTGGGCAAGGGTCACGTATTTTTACAGTTATGGCCATTCAAAAGTCACCACTTTTCTATCTTGTGTGCTGTTGGACCAGAAGCCAATTTCAACAGTGTATAACTGATGATGTAGGCTTCAGACCCATTAAAAATCATTATAAATGTAATATCATATAAGTAGTCTTGAAATAAAAGAAATATAATACTAATGTGGCACCTTGCATTATTAGAAATATTCATAGAAATATGATTTAATTTTTTTTCTTACGGTTTACTAAACAGGTTGTTGAAAAACGGAAAAATAATTGAGTTGAAAATAATTCACTAAGATTGTACTTGGACGATTAGAGAAATACAAAAGCGGTCATTAACAAAAAAACAAGTCAGAAAGATATCTTAAGCATGTTGACCGAATTTTTAAAGACAATTGGAAGAATAGAATTAGAAATAATAAAAAGAAAGAAAGGGGAAAGACATGATATCAAAACGCTTTGATGAAAACCAGATATCGGTCAAAGCATCTAGCCTACTTTTTTAGAAAGACACCTTATCAATTTGGATAAAGGAAATTTTGGGAACAATGAAAACGAAATTTAATCAGAGAAAAAAGTGTTGACCGGTGGAACGGTATACAGATTCTGACCTGTTAAAAATTAGAACCCCCACATTGACGAAAGTGAAAGATGTTTTCAATTCAGATAAATTAAGATTTTCTGACTGCGGGTCTGACAAAAACATTGTCTCAGATCACAGATGGTGACAATACAGTCACAACTAATTAGCGGCAAAAACCCAGGTGAGAAAAGCCAAGATTATCATTTTAAATGACGATGAAAAAAGGCCAACTTAGATTTTGTTTTTTAAAACATGTAACCACCCAAAAGGAGGAGAAAGGACGATCAATAACAATTGGTCGGACGATCTGCAGAAAAGAAGAGAAAGAAATGCCCGATCAGGAACCATTGGTGAAAAACGGTCACCTGACATACAAGATGCACCTCCCCAAAAGGCACTGTGAGGAAGTAGGGGTAGCGATAAAAAGTCAAAAAAAATAGTGCGACTTTTGGAATTATCGAGAAAACCCTGGACCCGACAGACCCATCCCAGTTTGTTGCGGCGCCAATAAAAGCAGGACCCCAGTCTAAAGAAATCAGTTGGAGTTGAGAGTTGCAGCTGGACCATGGGCAGGGATAGAAACGCTGGGCATCATTGATTCACCGCCTCCCCTTTGGCGGGCAAGAGAATCTCAGACAAGAAATCCTTCCACCCAAAGTTCAAGACGGCCGAGAAGAGATTTTGAGAGTTGCGGCAAGAGTTCGAAGACAAGAGAACTTCCAGCCCAAAAACAAGAGAACTTCCAACCTAAGTCGAAGAAGAAGAAATACAACTCAAGTCAAGAGAAGAATCAATTTAATGATCGATAGAAATTAGCCCCAGTGTTAAAATCTTTTAGGTTTGTGATAGAAGCTTGGTGCCATAGTCCACAGAGCGGGTTGGGAAATGAGAACAATTTTGTTTTTATGTAACGGACATTAAGATATAAAAGGTTGTTACCCATTTTTTTTTCATCAGCAATCTTTTTGTCTCGTGAGTTTATTTTCTCTTTTATTTGTGTTTTGCCACCCATTGGACTCAATTTGTATCGGCCCCAATCCCTGCTGGTCCCGTCTGTCTAAGATCTAAACACAGCGTGGGTAGACAGACCGGAGACGGTACAGTTGCTTTAGTGACCAGGTATTGAAGCTAGCCGGGAAAGGCAGGCT